TGTCGGCGTGGGGGGTGGGAGGTGGGTGTGATCAGAGCTAAATTAATAGGCATTAGACCCAAAATCTAAAGACGAATGTGTCAATGCTTCAAATGTGAGGATATCTTTTCTTTTTGGTAACAACTTTCTGCTATTTCCAACCTACCTATTGCACTCAATTGTTTCTTTTAACACAGGAAGTACAAAGCTCACACAAATTGCTTCTAATTTAGTTGTGTACATGTACATTCACATGGTTTTAAAGCAAACCTTATCAAGCTTACTCGAAGTGAAAACTTAGTGCTGAAATTTGGCAAGTTCTTGATCAGTAACTTATTACTTTTATAAACTCTCAGATAGTTCAATACCCACAACAGCCTAATATCTTTCAGAGAAATGATAAAAAAGACCCCAAATTTCAAAGGAAGTCTAGAAAACCTCCCACAGTGAAAATTACCTAATAAATCAACTTAATCTAACCTCCTGCTGTCTCTGTCTTCAATTTAATTCACCCACAAATTACCTTCTCATCGTTTGTCTTTAGGCTTTCCCAGACCACACTCTATTTTCAGGATGCTAAACTCCCAAAGGGCCACTCAGCATATACACTTATTCTCTGCACATATGCCTCCAATCCGTTAAGCATTTCCTATGTGCTCACCCATTAACATCCTTTGAATCCTTTCAATAGCCCAACAGTTCCTTTTACTAACCGCATTTGCTTCTCTCTGAGGAAGCTAAAGCACAGAGCATTTCTACAATTTACCCGAAGTTCTAATGGTTTCAAGCGGTAAAGCTTTAATCCTATCCCAGGCAAAGTGATCCGTAGCTACTACTACGCTGCTGCCTCCAATTGTTGGTAGGAACTCAGATACAAAGACAAATTCCGGCCACATAATACCATGAATCCTGCCCTTGCTGGCACTCCGCTTCTACCCTCTAGACTGCTATGAACATTCTGGCTTTACTTTATTCTATAGAACAGCCTTCACTGCTGCTACTCATATAGAGCACACTTACTTTCTTTTATAATACAAAAAAAGTGAGCATTAGACTTTCTATCACCACCACAGGGGGGTTGGGGTCAGGACTCAAACTGAATTTTGACGCATTTTTAAAGTCTTTATTGCTGGCAAACTGGGTAATGGTTTGGGCTTGGGCATGAAGCACTGTCTCAGAGACTCACTTGATCATCAGAGTTGATGTAACGTTGACTCCCAAAATAGCATAAAGCACATATCTCAACGGAGGACCCTGGGGGAGAAGAAGGGGAAAAATAGTGGGGGAGAGGGAGGGAGGCAAACCATGAAAGACTCTTGAGTGCTAAGAACAAACTGAGGGCTGATGGGGGTGGGAGGAGGGGAATGGGGGAGATGGGCATGGAGGTGGGCACTTGTGGGGATGAGCACTGGGTGTTATATGGAAACCAACTTGACGATAAACTATTAAAAAACAACAACAACACATATCTCAAGACTTCCAGGATTTTGAAGTTCACAAAAGAAGTCAAGACTTCTCACATTGCTTTCCAATTCACATGCAAACATAAAATCCCATTTCAACTTTCCAACATCATTAGCAAAGCCAGACACTGTATATTCTCTAAAATTTATTTACAGTTAATAAATTAAAAAGAAAAGTACAACCAGATTATAAATCTTAATCATATGTGCACATCAAACTGTCCAGGAAAACATTTCAGTTCCATTACAAAGAGTTGCCTTCTAATGCACTTAAGACATAACAGCCTATCAAAAAATATTTTAAACACACCAATAAAAGTAAATATTATGTATCTATGTCCATTAAAACACCAATTTAAAGTGTGCTGTGGCAATCCTTGAAACAACAAAAAACTTTGAGTTCAAAATTGCTCAGATTTTTTTGGATCCCAATATTTTTAAAGCGTTTTTATTGAATGGTTTTCAGGAGAAGAGTACTGTTGTTTGCACACAGCAAATCAATATGTGTCAGCCACCAGCGTAAATTACACTTGTCCAATCCGGTACTCAAACTTGGACAAAATAAATACACACCACCACAGTGACACTTTGCACTAACAACAATGAAGCTTGCCCTCAACAATCATAACGTTACTGGGTTCAGTGAGGAAAAATAAGTTGCTGGTTGACAAGAAGGAGGAGGATAAAAACGACATCAGGAATTCTTCGAAAGGTTGAGGTGCCAGTCACCGCATTTAGGCACTCAAGCACAGCAAGGTGATAAACTTCCTCCTTGGCTTCCCCCTTTACTTGTGCCATATGAGATATAAAGGTAAGAGAATGAATAAAGATTATGAGACTTCTTTCAAAAAACTATGTACAAGCTAAGCACAGACTCACTTAAGAACCGTAAATGAATGCCTCACCATAAAGGCCACCGTGCCAAGTTCCTTTTCACATTCTGCCCAAAAGTATCCATAAAATACTTTCATTGTCCTATTAATATACGAATCAACTATATTAGTTGTTTCTTCACATTTTATAAGTTGTAAAACAACCAACTTCAGCAAGACTTTACTAAAGAAAACTTGGCAAAAATAAAGACGTTTTTACATCTTGTTTCGCAAACTAGAAATGGCAAGATTTTTTTTAAGCGATCAGGTAAATAACATATTGAATTTAGGATGGGCAATCAGATCCAAACTGAAATCAGAGAGCCCGGATAACCCAAAGCATTAATGTAAGTTCAAGTGCACTAAAGTAACAAGGCATAGGAGGGGGAAAAAAAAAAAAAAAAAAAAGATTCTTAGTTAAGTTCAAATAAATGCATGGTATCAATGGTTATGTTTCAATTTTGTGCTGAGCAAAGTTATCCTCCCAGCTACACCTAATTTCAAAATCCTCTGGGAAGGTAGCTAGATAAGCTATGTTGAAATTACATTCTAATATGGCCATTGGATTTATTTTTTAATTATTATAAAATTATATACAATAGTGAAGTGGTACAAATAAGTATTTTTTCTCAGGTGCTAATTAGCTAAAAAAATTAATTTGGGAATGGGGGGAGAAGAAAACCCTATGTATTTGAAATACAATTGGCAATGGAAGCTAATAACCAAAAGAATATATGTAAGCTTCCTATCACACAAATATAATTTAACACTCTCCATCTTCTAAGTAATTATTCACTTTTATTTACTCATGTGACAGTTTTTTGCAACAACACATTATCATTGAGTAGTGAATAAAAGAATATGAGGCTTACTGGGAAACTGGCATAAAGTCAATATATATATAGATATATCTTTTTTTCCTTTTTTTTTCTTTTTTACAAAACAAGAACACTGAAATTAAAGTCACAAAACTCCTACTATGAACTACTAAACTTGAAAAATTCACTTCAGAAAGCTATGCCATTTGAATTCTAAAAACATAAGAGTCAAAATCGCAACTCTCATTATTCCCCTAAGAAGCTGCCAAGCAGAGAGAAACCTTAATATTGAAGATTTCATAGGTCATGTTCCAGCCTGGTATGGATGGTTCCATGGCAGAATACTTAAGTTTGAAATAATAGTGGTACAAAATCACTACTTGACCCTTTAGATATTGCAGTAAAATCTGGCTGCGGCACCACTGGCTAAAAACCATTAAGTCTTGCTGCCACCAATGACCGAAGGCACTTGGATAATCAAGAATTCCACACTGGGCCATAGGATATAAACACTATTACAAGTGGAAAAAGTGTAAAAGAAGGGTCAGTACTCTGTGTGGCTCGCCTGTTTGATTCCTGTGGTCTTCGGCTGTCAAACAGAAGACCAATAACTGCAAACAGAATTCTGAATGGAAACAAGATAATAAAGGAAACTCGTGGAGCAAAACAGTTAACGACCTGTCAATGATACTTCTAAGAGCGATGGATAGTAATCTGGACATTTCCTGTTATCCAACAACAACAAAAACAAGGGAGAAAAATCTATTTTGCCCAAAGTTAAACTTCAACCAGTTATTTGATACGAAGAAATGCCCCACCCCTCTTGATCATTAATACGTCTGAGAATTCCAATGGGTATTCTGTTTGGCATTTTAGTCACTGCGTTTACCCGCATACTCATTTTTCCTATGTGATTTCCATTTTAAAATAATTTATCCTTGAAATATTCCCCGATCTGTATGTTAGACTAGTACAAGGAGACCAAATCATTTCCAATCGGATTCCATCCATCTCTGTAACCAACATCAGTTCTTTGTAATTCACTCATTCTTTTTTTTTTTTTTATCACAAGCCATATGGTTTCAATGCACTTTAAATTTTATTCACTTAAAAAGAATTTCACAAGTCAACTTTCCCTAAACAAAACTACAGGAGTTTCTGCCATTTCCTTTAGGAGCTCAGTAAATATAAACATTAAATTTCAATATAAAATCTTTAGAAACCCCTTAAAAAATGTTTAAACAGTTGAACTTTGCATCTCTTTGTTTGTAATCACTGAGCCCATGAAATTCAAAGCCATACAAATCCTTACATCATTAACAGTCATACGCTTGAATTTCTTAGAAAATATCCTTGGTCAAAGCTTTGGAATCCAGTTAAAATTCGGAAACGAGTGGGATTCAGAATACCCTGAGCACAAACTAGTGCAACACCTCTCAACACATCTTCGATCTTCCGTCCAGAACGAGGGGTGGCAGTCAAAAAAGAAAAAAAGGAGGGAGGGGGAAGCGGGGAGGTGGATGAACAGCGAGTAGATTCTAGCTTTATTACACAAGCACGAAACCAAATTCCTTTGGAAAAAAAAAAAAAAAGAATGACTTCTTCGGAGGACTTCCAGACCAGTGAGGTAGAGTCCAAAAGGGAGAAACGATCTGCCCCTACAGTCCTGGAGACGTCTCAGCCTGGGGTCCGGAAGAAAGGGGGGACCCCCCCTGCGGGCCCCGCCGTCTCCTCCCTCCGCAGACCCGATGCTGGGCGCAGGCAGAGGGCACCCCTGCCCCCGAGTCCCCGACGGCGACGCCGCCGCACCCCGGGGGCGCGGGCCGGGAAAGCCCATCCGGTGCTTCCTCGCCCGTAAAGTGCACTAGGGGACGCGGTCCCGGCCGGATCTGTAAACACTCGACTGTCACTTGTCCGTCCCTCCAGGCGGAAGCCGTCCCGGGCCGGAGGGGCCGCGTCTCACGCCCGGGGCACCGGGAAGCGGCGGAGCCTCACCACCGGCTCCAGGTCCACGCGCAGGACTTGGCGCGCCCGGCGCCGCGCCGCCGCCAGGCTGCGCTCGCCCCACACGTCGCCGCCGACGCGGATGGTGGGGAAGGTGGTCAGCGTCGGGGTGGCCGCCCTCCAGATCTCCTCCAGGGTGCGGCCCCCGAAGCAGGGCCCGGGGGCCGCGGGCTTGGGCGGGCGGCAGTCCTCGGGGGCCGGCGGCGGCGGCGGCGGCGGCGGCAGGGGCGGCGGGGGCTTCCTCCGGCGGACGGCGGCCGCCCGGGCTCCGCGGCGCCTCCTCCTGGCCGCCGGCCGGCGCGTCCGGCCGCGGGCGGCGGGGCACGGCGGGGGGTCGGGGACCAGGGCCCGGCAGGAGGAGTAGCCGTAGACGTCCTTGCTGCGCAGGATGTGCGGGGAGAACTGGTGCTTGAGGCTGCAGAGGAAGCTCCAGAGCTCCGCGTCCGAGCTCATGAACTCCGTGCTGCGGGGCATGAACAGCTTGAAGGCGTCGCCCAGCGCCTTGGTGCTGTCGGCCAGCGACAGTTGCGACCGCGAGTACACCACCTTCTCCTCCCGCGCCTCCAGCTCGGCCCCTCCTCCGGCCCTAAAGCCGCCGCCCCGGGCGGCCGGGGCCGGGGCCGCCGGGGGCCGGCGCCGCCGCCTCTTCACGCTGCGCCGCATCGGAAGCCGCTCGGGGCCGCCCGCGCTCGCCTGGTCGCGTCGTCGTCGCCGCCGCCGCCGCCGCCGCCGCCGCCCCCGCCCGCGTCCAGGTCCGCGGCGGCGGCCGCTGCTGGCGCCTCCAGGCCGGCGCGTCTCTCGCTACTTTTCTCGCCTCGGCCGCCGCCCCTCCCCCTCTGAGGGCGGAAGACGCGGGTGAATATCCTGCCGCCCGGTACAAGATGGCGGCCGGCGCCCACCCCTGGGCTTTGTCATTGGACGGCGCCTGGGCTTTGTCATTGGACGGCGCCTCGCCCCCTGGTTTCTTTCTTCTCCTCTCTAGCCTCCTTTCGCCCTCTGCCTTTCTTTAAATGCGCCCGACTCAGGCCCCTCCCACCACAGCCCTGACTCCACCCATTGGGTGCTCTCAGAGGAGGGGCGGAGACTAATCGGGGAGAGGCCAGTTCCTGGAAGATGGTGCTGGGGTGGGTGATGGTGGTGGCCCTTGAACGCCAGTCAACAGTTGGGTGGGTATATGGAGAGACTGCCGTGTCTACGGTGAGGGGAGGACTTCATATCCACCTTGGGAAAAGACCTCAGGGTGAGTGGGTGCGTTTGTGGACTGAGCTGGGAGACGTCCACGTCTGCACAACAAAGGGAGACCTGCCCAAAGGCTGTCCCTCCCATCATAGCCAGGGAATCTGGGGGTAAGTCTAGAGTGAATGGACCTTTCAGGCTTCCCTTCTACACCTTCAGAGACCCTTTTGGCATCTTCATCCAACTCTACCCTCTTTTGGCCCCAACCCATAACAACCAACCACTAATAATCCAGAATCACTCAGGTAATATGGGCAGCATTGGTGAGACCAACTCCTTTTAGCCAATGGAACCGTCTTCGTATTTAAGAGACACCCTGCTTATCAGGAAAGCAAGGGCTATTAAACCTATAAAACTAAATGCTCTTGCTCCAGTTGATCAAAGATCAATTACAACAAAGCCGTTCTCCTTAATGAAAGTATGTGTTTTTAAATAGTAGTTCTTTCTAAATGAGTGCACTTCACTTTTCATTTAGTTTCAGTATGTTCCTTTGCAGCACCATCTTTATCGTTGAGAAAAGACGTGGCATCACAATCAAAGGGGTTCCGTTGATAACAGCTCATTGTTAAGAACACATTCCCTTCTGCATTTGAGGGGAGGACTGGAAATGTTGTGGTCTTTTGCTAGTTGTCTTTTCTATCCTACTTGGCACTCTAGTGGGCCACTCTATGTCTGCTCAATAAATCAATAAAATACTGCTGATTATTTGCAATGAAGTGAGAAAGAAGAATATAGTGAAATCGCTTAGAACAGGACAATTTTATATTTTCCATTTATAATGTAATTTTCCCTCAACTCCCTTAAATTTTTAAGGCCAAAAAAAAAAAATCTCGTAATACTTAGAACTTTAAGGTAAGCATTGCAAACTTTACCCTTCAGTGAGCATCTTATTTTGCAGTAGAAAACTGATAGAGCACAGTTTTGTGATTTGCATACAGTTGCTAATGGTTCCCTCTAATATTTGAGCTGAAAGATACTAAGTTCAGTCTCCCTATTTCACAGATGAGGAAATCTGGGCCCACAGGTGTTCAGTAATACGGCTGTTGACAGCAAGACTGGGACTATATTTCAGGTTATTGGGTTCCTAACCCAGTGATCTTTATACTTCACTGGAGGCTTTTCAAATTGTGCTGCCCAGACTCGGAGGTTCAATAGAAAATGCGTGAGTGAAGTGACCAAGGGCCAGATCTGTACACCTCTTTCTCCTTCTATTCTACCCAGAATTGAGTTTTCGTCAGTCTTATACTGGACTTAACAGATATTTTGTCTGAACCAGATAATTTGTTCAGTTCCAATAAAAATGAAACCAACCGAAATTATTCTGAAAGCTGTTTCAATACACCAGAGCACCCTCTCCACACAATGGGTTTATGGCAAAAACAGAACTTCCTATCAGGAGACCAGTTCTCTACCTACCAAAACCATGACAACTTCATGAAGACAAAATCATTTTCCTAGAAAAGCACATCTGATCACAGACCAAGATTAAGGAGCCAATTACCAGCTTCTTAAGTCCTTATAAAGAAATTATATTAAAACTTTTTACATCATAATTAGTTCTCTTGGTAATTCTGGGAACACATAGTAATGTGAAATTTGAATCACTTACGTTGGAATGCCCCTGCAGACTGACATAGAAAATTGCACAGAGTGAGCCAGGAGAATGATAAGGGGACTTCATAGTAAGAGGGTAAAATAAGGATTTATGTACTCCTGGCCTCTCATATTGTTACTGCCTTCCTTCCAAGTTAGTCATAAATACTTTTGAGTCTTTTGCCAAATAAATACATAACAGGCATCCATACAAACCTAAAGATTTGATTTTGATTAAGAGGATGAATCTCTTCTTAACATAATTTTTGACTCTAAGAAAACAACATCTCAACAAATTGCACAGGATTAAACAGTTCTTTTATATTACACTCATTTAATTTACTTAAACTATTTTTATGAAATATTTTAAGGAATTAGTATCCTGTTAAATTGCTTAAATTATCACATACTTTTAAATTTGGTATTGTTTGCTCTATTCTCTATTTTTCTATTTTTATATTTCTTCTTGACCTTTACTTTTTGATTAACTCAGATCCTTATCCATTCTCTATAAGTAGGTAAAGTTTACTCATAAAGATAATACATTCCTTCTAATTCCTAGGACCATCCTGAGACACTATAAAATTTATGGAAAGGTGTCAAATTAAATTTTTGTTCTTGAGGAATGATGTCTGAAATCCTGAGTTTATTCCATTACCTCTCAAGGGGAATGATGCTCCCTGTAGCATATAACTAAGTGGCGGATAAAGAGAATAAACAGAAAGAAAAAACTAGCTGTATCTGTACATTTTCTGAATATATGTTACATAGTTAAAAAATAAATCCAAGCAGAATAAAGTGATTGGAGAAAACTAAAATAAAATACATCACCTAGCTACGCAGATCTCTCTTTTAAGATTCCATATCTATAAAATAGTTTGCTTCTTGAAAAGTGGCCAAAAAATAAATAGTATATATGAGTACAAAGTAAGGAAAAGGCATTCTCCTCAAGATACGGTGTGAGAAAACTGGACCACTTTCTTATACCATATACAAAAATAAACTACCTAAATGTGAGACCTGAAACCATAAAACTCCTAGAAGAAAACAGGCAACAATCTCCTTGACATCAGCCTTAGCAACATTTTTCTAAATGTGTCTTCTCCTCAGGTAAACTATTGGGACTATACCAAAATAAAAAGTTTTTTGCACAGCAAAGGAAGCCATTAAAAAAACAAAAAGACAATCCTCCAAATGGGAGAAGATATTTGTAAATGATATATCTGATAAAGAGTTAATATCCAAAATATCTAAAGAATTGATACAAATCAATAGCAAAATGAAAAAAGGTGGGGGGGGGGGGGCAGCGGCAGTGGACCTGAACATATTTCCAAAGAAGACATACAATGATCAACATATACATAAAAAGATGCTCAACGTCACTAAGGATCAGGGAAATGCAAATCAAAACCACAATGAGATATCACCTCACACCTGTCAGAATGGCTAGTATCAGAAAGACAAGAAATAACAACTGTGGTGAGGATGTGGAAAAAGAATCTACATGCACTGTTGGTGAGATTGCACACTGGTGCAACCACTGTGCAAAACAGTATGTATAGGGTCCTCAAAAAATTAAAAGTAGAAATATCATACAATTCAATAATTTCACTACTGGGCATTTAACCAAAGCAAACAAAAACATTAATGTCAAAAGATCTATGCACCCCTATGTTTATTTCAGCATTATTTAAAGTAGCCAAGATATGGAAGCAATATAAGTATCTGTTGTAGATGAGTGGATAAAGAAGAAATGTATATCTACAATGGAGTATTACTTAGCCATGAAAAAGAATGAGATGTTGCTATTTGAGACAACATAGATGGACAAAAAAGGCATTGTGCTAAGTGAAATAAGCCAGACCAAGAAAAACAAATACCATATGACTTCACTTATATGTGGAATCTAAAAAATAAAACAAATGGACAAACAAAAAAGCAAAAACAGACCCACAAATACAGAGAGCAAACTGGTGATTCCCAGAAGGAAAGAGCTAGGGGATGGGCAAAATGGGTGAAGGGAACTGGAGGTAAAGGCTTCCGGTTACAGAATGAATAAGCCACAAGAATGAAAGGTACAGGATAGGGAACACAGTCATTGATATTGTAACAGTCATGAATTATGACAGATGGTAGCTACACTTGTGAGCATGGCATAATGTAGAGGTGTCAAATCACTATGCTGTACACCTGAAACTAATATAACACTGTATATCAACTACATATACATTAATTTTTAAAAACCTAGTAAACCTTCACTTAAAAGCTATCATTTAGGGGCACATAGGTGGCTCAGTTGGTTGAGAGTTAATAAATAAACATTTAAAAACTTTTTAAGCTATATTTTTAAAGTATATATAAGTAGTTGTGAGCATCAGTTTTGGAATCTAATAGATCTTTATTTAAAAAAAAACTTTAGAAAAAAAATATCGTCAGACATGGTTTTTTCATGTTTCCAAGCCTTACTTTCTTCTTCTGTAAAATGGACATAATCTCTAATTTAATTTATTGTTTTGAGGATAGGATGAGATAAAATTTATAAAACATTTACTATAATGCCTGGTTCACAGTAAGCATTCAGTAAATAATAGCCATCATTACTTTTCTTGTCTAATCAGGATTTTATTTGGCTTAACAAACATATTTCCAACCCTTCCTGCAGTAGGAGTCTAGAGGTTTTTTTAAAAAGTAGTAAGTTGTTGAGGGGTAAGTAAAATGCCTGTACTAGAAGGAAATTTAGAGATCATCTAATGAGCCCAACACTCTTAATCCAGATGAGAATACTGAATTGCCAGTAAATCTGCCCAAGTTCCCATGGCTGGATAGTAGAAGACTATAAACCAGAACCTAGGTTTTTGTTAGTCCAGAGTTGTTTCAAACATTTTTGTATTTAATCCAAAGAGATAGCATTTTTAGTTTGAATGAAATTAAAGAGAGCATGGGATGCGTGGGTGGCTCAGTCAGTTAAGCGTCCGACTACAACTCAGGTCATGATCTCACATTTTGTGGGTTCGAGCCCCGCGTCGGGCTCTGTGCTGACAGCTAGCTCAGAGCCTGGAGCCTGTTTTGGATTCTGTGTCTCCTCTCTCTCTGACCCTCCCCTGCTCAC